GTGATCCTTGGTGTTTCTATGATATTGTATCCGGACGTGCCGCCCCTCGTGCTTGCGGCTGCCGCTCTGAATAACCGCTCTCCACCTTAAGCCAATCTATGCCAGTCTGAAAATGCACCAAGCGACTGTCAGCTTTGGGGGCAAGCCCTTGATGAAAGCTGGCAGATGGGAACGGTCAAAACGTATGGGATCAAACGGAGCCATGTCCAGGGGCAGCTCCTGCACATGAGAGCTAACATGATGGCTCATTTGTATCAGTATTGGGTATTGGGCTAGGCTCATAGCAGCATTGAGTAATGATAAACATAATACTGATAGTAATTGTATCAATGATGGAATGATAGTGGTAGTCTGAAGCTTCTTGGAGTGGCCTCTCCAGCTGCCATGGCCGCGGCTGCCTCTCCCATCGCTGGGCCATTCCTCGAAGCATGTGTGTTACCGTTACTGGGAAGTGATCAAATGTCTCGCCTTCCCGTGTTAGACAGAAGACAACAGCCTGCATCATAACGCATCGCAGATGCAGCCGCGTGTAAGGCAACAAATCTATTTTCAGGTTCTTGTTTCCAGTGACAGGTAATTCTTGGCAGGGTGCAACTCGTCACTGCACATCAACTGATCACTGATCATTCATTCTAATTCCCACACTGCAGCAGGAAAGGAGAAAGCACAGATGGGCAAGGGCTCGCTCAGGTAGCCTGCCCGAGCTGGGCAAGGTCTGGAAACAGGCCCTCTGAAAGAAGCTGCAAGGCTCAGAATGCCCCAGCATCCGCCGCCACACGCAATGATAGCCTCAGATACGGTTGCCTACACCCCGCCCCGCCGACCATGTATTTTTTGTCTGTGCCTGTCTACATTGAGCTCTTCAGACGCGTGACGTTCTCGGTCTTCGGCACTCGGCCAACGACGGGTCGATGATCGTCTGAGCCCGCTAGGAAGCAGGCGGTAGTGCGGATGATCGTTGCATCCTTCAGCCGCGGAACAGCGGCAATGCTCTCAGCCTGTGGAGGTGTGGCTTGCTGCAGCGGCTGGCCGAGAACACCGCGATACACGCGCCCCGCGCCTTGACTTTGTCGATCTCATCCTGAGGGGGCTCGATCTCCATCGGATTGTCTGGCAGCGGAGGATCTGTGGGGCAGCCATTAGCGTAGCATTCGTTGGTTCGAGGATATATCTCCGTGTGGTCCTCACCCATCGTGAACACCATGGTAGCATCCTTCCCCACCTCAACATCATCCCAAATAACGCTGGTGTAGCGATTTGAAACAGTCCGCTGAGGTAGTGTGCTCTCGGGAAACCACTTGGCGGCTTCATTCGCCCATGCGCCCATCCCCATGATCAGGGCAGCACAGGGTAGCGACGTCTCCTTGCCATCCTGCAGAGCTGTTTCGTTTACCTTTTCACATCAAACAGCTGTGTTGGCAAAGCGGCTTGCATTCAGCAGTTTTCTCACTGAAAGCGTCCTGCTGCACCTTGAGGGCTTTTACACTGGCGCCCTCCATCTCCACACCGACAGCTTTGCCAATGATGATCTCACAGCCTTGCACTGGAGTTCTTGGGAACGACCGAGTCTGCCTAAGTCTGTGTGCATTTCCGAGCGGCCTTGTTTCACAATGGAGTCCTTCAGTGCCTCCATCAGCTTGTAGGGCGTGACCTGCGCCAGGCCACTCTCGTTGCCCATGTCCTGAGGCAAGAAACACACCATGTAAATCTACGAAACCAAAAGACCGCTGCAAAGCTAATTGCAGGTCCCGTTGGTACTGGCCGGGGGCAAGCCATGCAGGCTGTGCGGTGCTGGCGTCCCGTCCTGCCAAAGTTCACAGATCCAGTATCAAGCCAGTGACCTCAATGTTGAACAAATCGACAAAATTGGAATGAAAAGGCTCATCCGGCGGGCCTTGCCTTGACCCACGCACTTCACCCGCCGATGGCCAATGGTTTCAGACCCCAACTCTTTCGCCAGGTCCTCAGGCAAACTCTGCGGCAACCGACCACAAATGCTCATGTAAGCAACAATGGCTCATGACGCTACGCCACTGGGATGATGTTATTCTGATAAAGGGCCTTGCAAACAAAGGACCATTGGGAATCAACTTCCTTTACAGGGGATCCTAACCAAACAGGGAATCTGCATTATGCCATACAGTCATGGCCATTTTGGGGACGGGCGGTGGGGTGCAGGAGTAACAGTGGGGCACCAGTCAGCGTGGCATTCCTATGGAGCAGCAATGCCAATTTCACAGGCACACTGCCTCTGACTCATTGATGTTAAAACATCCTCCTCTGCATGCAAAATCTGGCAAGGGCTCTGACACGAACTTAAGCTGGCAACTGCCAAGTTTGGTTCTCAATCCTGCATCCAGATTTGACTTGTCCTCCCGCGTCAAAGCCTACTGTGAACCCATGCAACAACTGCAAACGCGAAACGAAACGATCCCGAACCCCATTATGAAATTGTAGTTTCCATGTTCCTTCCATTATCCCTATATAACCCCTAATATATACCCTATAATCCTTGTAAAGTCCGAATATAAACCCTGTATAATCCCTACATAACCCATACATAATCCCTCTATAACCCCCCCCCCCTCCAATATATAGCCTATAATCCAGCACAGAATTTCGTGTCTGCAGACCTCGTGCAATGCGAAGGAGCGCTTTGCAAGGCGGGCAATCGGACCGCTGTGCCAGCCTGCAGGGACATGAGGGATATGGGACTATAAGGGTTAATTATAGAAAGGTTATATAGGGATTCTAAAGGAATTATAGAGGGAAAAGATATATAAGGGTTATAATGGGATTATATAGGTAGGAGTTATACTGGGGTTATTGGGATAGTGGAAAAGAGCATGGAAACTATTATTAAAAATGAGGAGCTGACAGTTTTGCGCCCAGCTCAGGAGCTCAGGGCAGGACTTTGGAGCAAGGCAGCTGTCTAAGATCATGTTTCAATACAACATCGGATATCAGGGGTGTGCAACTGGACAAGAGAAGATTTCATGTTGATGTGAGGGCAAGGCTTGGCAAACGCTTTGCATCTCCCGACCTGAATCCCCATCCGTCAGGAATCCGCCCGCTTTTCCCGAGGAGTGGCAGGCAATGGCACATTTCTCAATCAGGGTAACCTTCTTTCCTTTTTTCAGCAAATAATGGGCAGCAGTAACTCCGACGATTCCTCCGCCCACGATGAGCGTCGCCATGGCGCAATGTGTGCTCCCTTGGCAGAAGACTCTAAAGCTGCCTCAGATCGCTCATAACTTTCAGCTGGGCTGGAAAAAGCAGCGATGTCGCGAGCTAAATCCCGCATACACATTGCATGATTGTAGAAGCTCAACTTCATGACGAAGGCATAAGCCAATGACGTCAGCAGAAACGGCTCAGAAAGGCAGCTTGCGTTGCTCAAATGGCCGCGCACATGACAAGCAGAACAGATTTGAATTTCGACTGAGCGGTGAGGTCAGACGTGAGGGTTGGAGGGGAAGCGAATATCAGCAGACTCCAGCTGGCAATCCTCATGACCGCAATGCAAAAGACTATACGACTGGATTCCAACGGTCCTCCAGTCCAGGCATGATCAGATAGCTGTCTTGACCCCTATCTGCAACTTCTCCAGAAGATCAATATGGTAGTTTCCCAAAATAAGGGGAACCAATATAGACCCCAATATACTATAATCCTTATTATGGGGACCCCCAAAAAGGTACCCATAATTTTGGGAAACTCCCATATCTTTATAGTCTGTGGTTAGTTTGTATGCAGCACACAGCTGCTCTCGGCACGCAACCAACTCGCAAGCCTGAGGAGTGCCGAGAGCGACCGAGTTGCGGAGAACTGTCAGCAGCGAGCCTGGCACATCCAGAATAAGCTGACGTAGGCACTTGCTGGGGCTTAAGATTACAGGGATTATTGGGGGCTATATTGGGTTAGTGGGACACAAGTACTTGTTGTATTGGGATAATGGAAAAGAAAATGGAAAGTACTGTTTAGGGTTGAATAGGGGGTATATAGGGACTATAATGGAGAATCAAATGGAAAATGAAAAAGAAAATGAAATGGAAACTAGTGAATACATAAGGGATTATATGACATAAGTACTTGCTGGCGCTTGAGATTACAGGGATGATAGGGGTTATGTTGGGCTAATGGAAAATATTTTTTCTATAGGGATTATATAGGGCTTATATTACGGAATGGAAAAGGAAATGGTAAGTCCTGTATACTTCTCATTTTTGAGGCCCTGTGGCATGTCGCACTCGGAGAGTGCCTTGATGTCACGGCTAGCTGCCGCTGAGTCCCCCAATGTGCCACACATTGGTAGATGGCAGCTAACAAAGGCAGTGGCTACTATTTAAGTTACTATTGGCAATGCCATTGTTCAGGCTAAACACAGTGCCATTGTTGCAGAAATCTCCTTGGGGTGGCGAGTCGCTCCGCTTTGAACCAATTTGTCCGCCTCTTCCGCTTTCGGGCTAACAATGGCATTATTGAGCACTTGCTGCTGGCCTGCTGGCAAGTGAGCAGAATGAGGTTGGCCCGTTAGCCTGTAGAATGCGGTCGTTGTAATGCATTATCAAATGGAAAAGCAAGAAGCCATAAAACTGAGACCATCCCCAAATCAGTGAAGTATCTTCCTGGGATCTGTTGGAATGCTGTTGTTGTTCTTTGTGCGGTGTATTGGAGGCTCCGAAAGAAGGAAATGCATGGAGAGCTCCAAGAGGAAACGCAAAATCAATCTCCACACAAGCCTGAAGCCATCACAAGTCTATTCTGCATCCAATGAGTTGCAGCCCTGGAATAGCAGGCTCCGGCTAGGCCGGTCGGGCAAATTCCTTGGTGGCTCTGACAAGGCAGCTTGAATTGAAAGCAACGATTATAATGCTTCTTATGTACACTACGCACAAGGGAGTATGCCGATTTAACAGAACTGCTCCTCAAAAGAACCAGCGTAGGACCAGCAGGATACGGAGAACTCGAGTGTAGGGACACGTATGAGAATGATGTTGCCAAAATCCTCGAGACATGCAGCCTCTCCTCATCAGTATAGGCTGAAACAGCGTGCAATGCACAGGGCGGGTATGCGAACCCCGCGCTGGAACTCGCTCCGCATTGCAGATACCTGAAGACGTCATTGCACGTCTGTGTCTCGAGTGCCATGCTCGCTCTGAGCAACCAAGAACAATATGTTTAAAAATCTCCCTCGCATCGAGCACAAACTGTGTTCCATAGCACCCTGAGCTGGCCACCTTCTGATCTGTCGCCTCGGCACATCTTATCATCTCGTATTTAGTAAAACCATGTGCAGACTGCGTAGTGCAGAAGAAACCCGTTACTGTCCCAGCTTTCCTCCACTTGGGACAGGTATGTTCAACATAATTAGCTAAGTGGCTTGCCTCCTGCCACCGTCAAGTTTGAGAGCTCACGACAAGCCGAAAGGCTGCTTAGCAGGCTTATTGGCTTCCTGTGTGCAAACAAGAAGCATCCAGGGCCATCCGCATCTCAGGCTCCATGTGCTGGACCCCAGCCACAATGTGCTCAGCCTCTTGCTGCTCAACCTCTGGGTCGGCATTTGCGTCCTCACAGGCTTCAAACTTCAACTCAAAGTGCCCAGAATCCTGCGAGTAGTGACGGAATTGGCATGCATGGCCCGTACAGGCCTGCACCGCTGCTGCCTCCATTACCATCATGAGCGCCTCCTGCTGCGGCGACCAGTGCATTGCGAAGGTTGCTTGCTGCAAATGTCATTTTGCGGGCGCTATCTACGTCCTCATGGAGTGGGGAACTGATTGCAACTCATGATACGGAAAACACCCGAGGCGTGCTGATGCACAGCAGGCCAAATATAGTACAAGGGTCGGTGCCGCAGGGATGCTACACTTACACCCAAACACGTGAAGCTCCAAAACAACACGTCTACACATCCCCTGGTGCAACTTATCATGGCTTCACCGCGTTCCGCTCCTCTTCCATTCCGCTGCTGCTGTTGCTCGACAGGTCTATCCCTAGCTGCGCTGCAAGCTCTCGGACAAGCTGGATGCGCTCGCGTTGGGGGGCAGAGATGTGGCCAACTGCAGTTGCACGACCGACGGCGGCTGCGGCTGCCACAAGCTGCAACTCGGCTGGTATGTTGGCTGCCACAGCTCCGTGCGTGGCAGCGTCTGCGGCAGCCGACAGTTGCTCCCGCGGGATGCTACCAGCTGCTCTCATGGCCCTAGCTGCTTCCAAGCCTGCTGCAATGGGACCCCCTCCAGCATAGCATGCCACGAGGTACCCTGTGATGATAGCGGCGGAGTCAGCCGCCTGAGCCTGGGCTTCCGCATCCTGCCCCACAGATTTTGTGATTCTCTCCGTGCACGAAGCTGCTATGTCGGCAGCATCATCCTGGGAAATCCCACGCTCAGCAGCAATCCTCGCTGCAGCGACAGCGGAAATGGACAGCTGGGCTCCGATCGACATGTTGGATGTAGCTGCTGCATCAGCAGCTGCAGTGGCAGCTGCCTTGGATTGTCAACAAACAGCATGCACCGCGAGGGTGGCCATCGCCAACGCCATGAAGAAATGTCATTTGAGCACGCCATGCTCTCTGAGTACGCAGCTGCGACTTGAGCATCTGGAGCTAGACCTTCAGCAGCCGCAAGGTCCTGGGCGATGGCTCCCTAAACCTTCAACAGGCCAAAGGTAGCTAGCGGCCAGCCATGCATGCAAGCCAAAGAGCCCGTCACTTAGTTTGCCGTATGTATCTAACTGATGTGCGAAAAAGATCTGGACCAGCTGCTCATCCTGGTCTGGGGGAGGTGCCGCCGAGGCTTGTCCAGCGTCCAACGCCTTGTAAAGAACTACAGCAAGGACTTGGCAGTGGTGCCGCCAGCTATCTGCAACAGGATCCGTTTCGCTAGATTGCATGGTCCCATGACATGGGGCAGTTCACCAGGATGGCATATCATCAGCCCAGAGCATCATTGAGCTATAGCACAAGCTATGCTTCAGCCAGCCTGCTGCACTGCACCTGCTTGCGGAGAAGGCCTCTGCCTGTCAATGCAACTGGGCAACAAGGAGCAAAGGGCTGTAGCTAGCACCAAGATACCTGTCTCAGCAATGGTAATCATGACGCATGCAACCACAGCCTTGATGACTCAAGTGCTTGAAGCTGCTGCAACCTGCAATATTCCAGCAAGCAAGTCTCTAGAAATTGACAGACAGCTGGAAGCAATGGTGCTGCAAATACGCTAGAGTTTCAAGGCTGAATGTGACTTGTTGCTGCCAGTCAAGCCCTTCTCTGGATCCTGGATCTATGCCCCGGGCATATTCTCCAAGGCACCCTTGAGGTGAACCTTGGCAATGTGCGGTCAGCACTGGATGTGGAAGGCTTTGCAGCTGCAGAGGGCTTCGGCTGAGCACCATACTGCCATTGTCAGCAGCTTGTGGAGATCCGCTAGGACTGCGCTGAGGTCAGGGACCAGCAGACATGCCTCCACAGCAACTTATCATGCTGGACGACGCGGTGTCGAGCGCACGACTGCATACGATACTCATGCTAGCCAGTGACCTGGTGCTACAGTGGCTTCTGCTGACAAAAAAAAAGCTTGACAGTTTTGACGAAGAGCAGTGCTGTTGCCTCATCCTGATCCTGAGCCCCAGCCGGTACTCCAGCCTGCAGAATCTGCCGAAGGTACTGGCGGTGCATCTGCTGGACCCTTTGCAGCACGTCCGCAGTACGCGGAGGCTCCTGTTGCACGGGGTCTATTGTGACTCGTCCATTTAGCTGCTTGAGAGTCCGCGGCTGTCCTCATTCCTACCTCCGGAGGTGAGCGGCCGGCTCTCCAACGCCTGCTGCGAAAGAACTTTGGGGTGTCCCCAGGATGTTGCAAAGCTGCGGCTCTCACTAGGCCACTAGGCCGCTCAAGGCACCTCGCTGACAAGAGATCGAATCCGTTGCTCCAGTGTCATTGCTTCCTTCAGAGGTGCAAAGGCACAGCTGCAGAAGCAAGACTCGGCTCTTGCCTTCTGCAGTACGTCAACACGTACATAATGCTCCAGGCCTCAATAACTACAAGTAACAGCCTGTGCCTCTCCTTTTTGCTGCCGACCGAGTTCCGGGCAGGAGAGGAAGTGCCTTGGCCCAGGCCGTTCGTTGCAACCCTGCAGGCTTCGAGTCGGCAACCGAGGCGGCAGCCCAAGCTCTGCCCGCAGTAGGTCCACCTTGCATGAATCCCAAATCCTGGGAAGGAGCTAGTCGGCGGGAGGCCTTGCGCTGCAAAGGCGCCAAAGGCGTTCGCTGCACACCACGACCTCCAAAGCCTGGCTTCCACGCTTTGGATGCTTTGGCATCCGGTGCTTTGGGTTGGCTGGATTTTTAGCCGTGGCGTTCTACTCTGTGTATCCCAGCATGCCAGCTGCTCCGAAGACCGGGAGTTGATGTACCTGTCAGGGGCGCATCCGAACAGTGTGCATGCGCTTTGCCGCAGGACTCTTGTTCAATCCAAATCTGCTTGGCACATGGAAAGTACACTCGCGCGTGGGGTCAGGGCCTAACTTTGAAGTAATGCATCTAGTGGCCTGACAAGGCCAAGTCTGCCATCAACAAGTCTGCCATCAAATCCCCAGCGCCATCCCACCCTCACCACTCCACCCCTCCACCACAAGGAAGCCTGCCAAGAGCCTTTGAAGCCTATCCCCTAAGGCCAACAAAAAAAGCTTCCCCTTGGAGCGCCTCCTGCAAGGCCTGGCTGGCGCAGTGGAGCCGGAGCAGCAGCGCCCACACCGAGGAGTAGCCTTCCTGAGGCCATAGTCGCCCTAGACCTATAATGAATGAACATATCTTTTCTTTTATATACATATATTTATGATCATATATATATATATATGTATACACTTAATAAACTGACAACAATCATAAGAAGACTGCGGGAGGTACGGGATGCTGCTCTTCTGTAGGGTTTTGAAGGGCTGCTATCCAGGGTATGGGATGAAGTAAGGCAGTCCCAGCTTCCATCGCAGCAGGGTCCAGGATTTCCGGAAGCGGTGCAGGCGACTGGTATCCCAGCTTGAGGTAGTCCAGAAGAATGAAAGGATCTTCGCCTGCACCAATGCAGGCTCTGGAAAAGATGCAAGGACACAAGACAAAAGAGGCAAACGCACAAGTCTGCTAATATGCCACCGAAGGTGCTGAGCCCAGGCCCCTTGCATGGGTCCAAGATGCATAGATTCTGCATGCACAGCTGCGCCACCAGCCGAACCTGTGGGCTTGCAACTGCACAAAACTCCAGCACTGCCTCGGGCCCCCTCCCCGTCAGCTCCTGAAGAGCTTCGCCACCCTTTGCTCTGGAAAATGGGTCGCTCCGACGAAGCGCAGATGTCTGAGACCTTGAAGCACCCATAGATTCCAGGCCTTCTTCCTGAGGCGAGGCCGAAGCACTTGTGGCCAAGACGGGAAAACGAAAGTGGTTCGCGGAAGACTTGTCAAGCTGAGGCTGCATCCAGTGCCGCGCGAAGTTCCGCAGCAAGTAGAGACATCTCTTCCAAAGCTACACCTGATGGATGCACCGACATGTCGTGTTCCAGAGAAGCCCACGTTGCACGTGTCTGTGCAGCTTCAAGCTCGTGGCTCGCCTGCAAAGCCGTGCTGGTACCTTTGCAGCTTGTGGTGAAGCCTGCCAGCATGTAAAAAGGAAAATGGTGGCGGAATTTGTGCATCTAATGTGGTCACAAACAGCTCCGCCAGAATCGCGCATCTTGAACTCTACATCTCTGGTTCACACCGATTTGCTCCATTTGCTCCATGTTCTGCGGAGGTTCTGCCTTAGGGCCTTTGTCACAGAAGGACATACTTTCCGTATATAGTACTGTTGAAGACGTTCACACTGGCATGGCATGTGCACATGTTCCTCTTCACCAGTGCGCCCACAGCGGTTTCGCGCTCCAGGAAGGCCACCAGTCGAATGGCGGCAAGGTGTCGCAACCTGACAAGAACAACTATAAGCCAAAGTGATCTGCACTCAGTTTGGCTCACGAGCTGGCAACCCGCAAAAGCACTCAGCCACGGGCAAGCCATTCTCATCCTGCAGAACTCGCCAGAGCAGCGGCCTGCAAAGAGGAGTCCAGGACTCGTCTTGTGTCTTCAGGACCCCATCTTTCAAGCGGCGCCTTGCAGCTGTTTCCGCAACATGATGCAGGGGCTGTAGGACACGCGCCTCCAACGCTGCCTGCAACAGTTCGGACAGCAAGGGAGACTAATATGCATTTCAAGTCCGACCTCAAAAGGTAGGAACTTGAAATCCTCGACATAGCCTTCTTTGGGCCGTCGAGGTCCAACCTCTGAGCCTCATGCGCCGAGGATGTCAATGGGGTTCTTCTGGCTCAGAGCTACTTCGGTGGGAGGGCACACACTGTCTCAGGTTGAGCCCTCGACTGCTGGACGTCCCTGTTGTCAAGTCTGCCTCAGCAGTTCATCCAAAGAACTTTCATGATTGCTACAGCCATATCCTGCTCATGATGCAGATGCTGTGCTATGATCTGTAGCGCCTTCCAAGGCAACCAGCTGCGCTCTACTTTGCATTAGGTTGTGAGATCCTGATTTACCGGATTTACAGGGCAATCTCGTCGTAATCCAATTGCTACCCAATCCAACTTGTGATGCGAACTGGGGCCAGGGGCTGGAGCTGCGCCAGCGAGGCAGCTACGTAAGCCTTTCAGGCTTGCACACATGCTGGCCAGCAGTCTTCATAGCTGCAGATATCAATGCATAGGTCAGAACTGTTTCCTCCCCCTATGCAACCCTCAGATTACCAGCGAACTGGAGACCCCCACCCCTGGCAAAAGCAGTTTGAAGAGTGTTTGTAAGCACTTCCCTACGCCAGCTCGAGCAAGGAACACATATTTGAACAAACCTGCTTTCAAAGACCGAAAGGATTTCATTAAAACCGAAAAGATGTTTCTTAAAATCTAGTTCTAATCATAGTTCCTCAAGCGGCGGAATTTTATTACACAAAAAACCCCAAAAGATTGAAAAGCTACGAATTCAGAGGTGCCTCAACGAAAAGCCGGGGCATTACCCAAAGAACCTGAAAATCCAAGGGTCGGGGGTGCGGGGTGATCACACAGCCCTCTCATCCACGGATCCCGGAAATGTTCACCAGGTGGCTAGCAAGCTCATCCTCTGCGCACCGTGGCGGCGTATGGCTTGCTGTCAGGGCCACCTGCAGCCGCTGATCGAATTCGAATTTGGATCTGGCTGCGTGGGCCGCTCTTTGGATTCAATTACCCCCGGCCAGATGCACTCCATGAAATTGGCAGGCTGACGAGCACGATTTTTCGGAATACTTTCCGCACTTGGGTCTGACTCCAGTCTCTGGAATGCTGTTGCTGCACCGCTGCGACCAGGATTCCTGCTGTGCTGTGCTCCCAGATATTTTCAATTGAAGCTATCCGCTGTCAGATGAGACAAGTTCAAGGGAGAGATGGGCGCTTGGCAGTAGCTTTCTTTGGCACTAATTTGGCTTTTCACTTCTTGAGCAAAGCTCCGCTTCCTAGTAGACAACGCCTTGGTAGGCTTGCAGACCTCCTGTGCTGCAGCGGCTGCTACCAGACCACCTGCTTCAGAGACCGCAAATCGTAGTCCTGTGTTTAGATGTATATGTAGAAATACATTCTCTTAATTGTGTCCGCGGGGCTCAGCACGAGTTGCATGGATGGGGAGACAAAGCCTGTTCTGAGCGGCTGTTATCTGCGCTATGGCGCCTTAAAAGGGCTCAGCGGCAATCTGCTCCACAAGCAGACAGCTGGCCGGGCACTGCAGATAAAGGGCTTCAGCGTCACTGCGGAGTCTTTGGAAGCCCTTGGGAAATGACAGAGGCTGTCTTGTTGCTGGCCTCGCCGCCTCGCTTTCACGAGCCTAGTCGATGGCCGGAGCCTTGAAAAACTCGAAACTCTGTACCTGCACGGGCGCTGAGACATGGTCCGTCGGTGTTTGGAATGTTTGGAGAGTACAAGAGCTGTGGATCAAAGTTCTTGGCCCGGCTTCGGCCTACAAGCATGTCTCCTATGTCTCCTGCTGCGCAAAGGGAACTAGACTAGACGGTTGCGCCGCAGCGCCTCATTTACCACAACCCACCCTCTTAATTCCGGTTTATCTGTGGGGATTCACATGACCACATAGCTGCAGGCATGGCTCCCTGCTGGCCTTGCACGGGTCGCGCGGCGACACCTTGTCGGATGACGTGGTGTCGAGGAAGAGCTTCACCACCACCCCACCTGGACGTGCAGGAACTTCGGAACTTCAGGAAAAGCGCAACCCCTTTGATGCCTCCGTGCTGTGAAGCCCTGCTTGGGAATTAGACAAAGCTATCAAGTGTTCGTTTCATTCCGCTGAGAAGCGCCGAGATCCCGGTGCCAGCTTGGTCAACTCGAACCCAGTGGCCGCCAAATAGGCGCCGCCCCAGGAGGAAGGAGAAGGAAGAGTTCTCCTGACGGAGATGATCACACAGAGATGCACAAGCTGGAGGCCAGATTTGGATCGTTGAGATTGGTGGAGTTGGTCGCATTTCCCCTACTGCACTAGGAACATCTGATCTAGGGTTGTGCTGATTGAACGAGCTCACTCTCCTCTGCTCCTGGTGTTCAAAGACGCAATTACAGCCTAGGGCCTGGAGCCTACACAAATGGGGTACTACCTTCGCTTCAATCACTTAGCAACTGGCTCCCATCTCTGCAGCTTGCCATCGGAGGGAAGTCTTGAATCCAAGTGAGCTCGACTGTGCAAAAAGCCCAGGGCAAGTGCAGCCACATCGGGCCTAGGATAGCAATGGATCATCTTCTGGCGGGATGATTGGGGTGCGACTTGTGAAGCCCTTTTCATGCCTGAGGGCGAAGGATTGCAGCTGAGCTACAACACTGCAGGGCCGTTCAGAAGTGCGAAGAGCCCAACCAAGACCATGGGATAGTACTTGGCCTCGATTTGCCAGCAGCCGCTTACCACTTTATTCTCGACTTCTGAGTGCACGCTGCAAAGGCCTTCATTGGGATACCGAAGAAGCTGGTCTCCGCCTCCCCTGCCTGTGACACAAAACATGTCTGCCATGAAGCCAGCGTCTATGTGACAACACTGGGGCTGTTGGACTGTGCAGTTTGGCTTGAAAAACAGAGCTTTGATGCAACTGCTGGCCTGCGTCAGTTCTATCTCTCATGCTCAATGTTGAATCCCAAGTAGTCGATTAGTGAAGGGTGCCTTCATTGTGGGAAGGTCTCTGGAAATACTTCAGCCAAACGTTGCTGTCACACCCATATGGCTTGATGTACAAGGTCGGGCAAGCTAAAACGAACTGCAGATGGCGTTCCAGGTTGCTATGTCTTGTTACCTTCCAGACTGTATGAGCCACAAGTAGGTGTCTGCTAGGTGCGATGCAAGTCTAACTGGGAACAGCTGCCGCTGAGTGAATAACCTTTGCCGAAGTCGCGTTGGCTAAGCTTCGTCTTGCTGGCGATTCCAACGAGATGGGTTCGGGTGAGCAAGCCAGCAGCTCCAACCGCACAGGACATTAGGGAATTCTCAAAATTCTGGGCCCCTTGTGGTCCTGAATGATAGCATGGCACCTACTATTTAGGGGTGCCCATATTCGATCCTAATTCTGGGAACTGCCCACAAATTAGCTGCTCTCCTTTCTCCAGGGCCCTTTCACCTGCAGGCTCTGCAGCGTGAGGGCGTAGATGGCCAGTGGGACCAGGCCGCTACTGCGGATCAAAGGCCACACGGAGGCCTGGCCCTGAAGTTGGCCTCACCACAGTAGTTAACAGTAATATAGAACTCATATTCGTAAGTATTCGTCATTGTAGTAGGAATAGTAACAGTAATAAAACTTTGCTTGTACATGGTGCTTTGTGCTCTGGATTTGCAGACTTAGATGTCCTCATGTGATGCAATCTCATGCAAGCTCATCAAGCGCTTCCCGAGATGTTGTGTTGCACCCAAATTGCAGTCCCCGGCACTGAGCCAGTCGAGGCCAAAAGCCATCAGCAAGAAGAGCAGGTTGATGGCGACAGCAGCCACGATGGCACCCAGGAGAAGCTTCGAGGAGCCCAGAGACTGAGGATCTCAAGCTTGCCCGGATGGAATGGGACTTCTCCAAACCAACAACAAACAAGCATGTAAAAAAAAACCTGAAATCAACCCGCTTCTCAACATCAAACTCGGATTGGGGGTCAGGTCGGGGAGGTTGTTGCGGGGAAACGTTTGCTGGGGAGTATCTGCTGAACAGTCCCATTGCCGCCCAGGAGCGCGCTCAACTCTCGGCAGCTGCGACAGAGTCCAGAATGCTATTAGGAGGCAAAAGAGCGTCCTCGCACTCAGAGGCTGCTTCAAATCTCTCTAGGCACGGAACTGTTGGGTTGAAGCTTCATTTCGCACCAGAGGATGGCTGATGGGCTGTGATTTGGGACATGCACGCTTGTACCAGGAAAAATTGCAAGGACAAGAGTAGCCATGCAAAGCCTGCATCTTATACACATTCTGTGGATCTTGTCTGACAGGGGTGTAGTGGAGCCAACTTTTCTGTTGGCAGTACACCAGAACATACTTCCAAATGGCCAAGATGCTGGAGCAGACCACCAGGAGGCTCCCAGACAGCTGATGTCAGCACTCCCCAAAAGTATCCTTGCCTGGCGGGATTGCAGTCCCTTTGACCTTCTTGCTCAGCTTCATGTTGGGGGGAGTAACTTGGCATCGTGGCGACGTCTAGCTCTGAAATATCACTGTGGTTCTTGAAACAACTGTCAGTAACAGCACATGCGAGGAGAGTTCAAGAACGTCCCCTGACTGTGCCTGAAGCTGGCCAACGAAAGATTTAAAAGGGATAGCTGCCGCGCCCAGAAATATCCTTGGATCAGGTCATGTGTGTCTGACTGCATGCACAACGGAGACATCGCATGTCTTGCCGCGAGTCTCACATATCAATTTTCGGACGGCTTCTTCTGTACTATCAGTATCAAAGTCCCTTCCGCCCCTTCCAGTGCTTGGCTCAGATTCCAGCCACATGCAATATCAATGGCAGGGCCGTCAGTGTCCTGGTCACCGCAGGCGCATCTTTCCAGAGTCCCGCCTCACAGACTGCTTTGCACTTGCTAGGCACAGCAGTCCGTGTTGATGACTGATTTTTTGCAATGAAGAAATCATCAGGACAGAACTGCGTGCCAGAGTTGTGCACTGCAAAATCAACAAGCTGAAGCGTTGCAGCAAAGGCACTACGTAGTCCATGGCGCCCAAGGCTACGTCTCTAAGTCATGTACACGCGTCTGAGCCGAGATATGCCAGAAACACTACCCTCGCATCTTCTGTCAAGGAGCATGCAGCGAGCACCGTCTGGCCAAAATGCATTGGAAGATCTCACGCGCCTGGGACCAGGCCCGGAGGGCCCCAACGCTTCGCCCAGCACCAGCCACGGCAGGGGGGAGCAGCGCTGGCAACTCCTTCAAAGCGTCGGCTTTAAGCATCTGCTGCAGCCTTGTCAGTTCCGAGGCCTTCCCGGAAAATTCAAAGGTCTCGCTCTGCTCGCCAAGGCTAGCAAATCGTTCAGCTGCACTGAGCAGTGGCCGTGCGGCTCCACACCAAAGCTCTGACAAGAGGGTTGGCAGTTCTTCTGCTGGGCCATGGAACACTCGGCTCAAGTTCTGGCTGCAAGCACAGCGGCTTAGAGACGATAGCAGCTCCTCAGCTGCCAGGCTGGGGAGCTGTTCACCAAGTTTGCGCTGGCGCAAAGCCAGCAAAATGGAGTCGAACATGTCTCGCACGACGCCAGCTGCTTCCGACCACGGCCGTATCAGCTGCAACAGTCTCATTAACGTTCGTGGCCTGTCTGGATCTGGAGCTGATGCTTCAAACCGCTGCAACTCCTCCGAGAATCGGGAGAGAAACTCCGTGAGCATCAGGCCCATACTTTGCCAGCACAAGCCGAAGACATTAACCGGATCTGTGGCCTCTGAAGTGTCACTTAGAAGCCCTGCGTTCCAGAAATCCCATAAACGAGACAATCCAGTGAGGCCACAGACCATTCCATCTTTCAGGCCCTGATCAAGGGCCTCGAGCAGTGCCGCGGGGGCGAAGGGAGGAGCTACTGCTTCGAGGAGAGCAGTAGTGTTCCGAATCTCTTGCAGCAAAGACCCGAAGTCAGCAAGTGGCTGCAATGCTTGGGCCAACGCTCCTGGTCCAAAGACACCTGGCACGTGTAGGGGCCTCCATTCAAGTTGTCCACTCTGGTCAGGCCCGACCATCTCACCATAGAAGCCACAAAGCATCTGAATGGCGACTTGGATGAGCAGGTCTTCTGGAACTGGCAAGGCCATGAGGTACTCCTGCAAATGGATGGCGCCACAATGAGCACAGCCGACAACTTTGCATGGGCAATGCAGCGCAACCGAACATGTCGCGACCCTGGAACGGGTCCTGATCCTCGCCCCGGAAGTACTTGTCAAGTAGAAGGCGCTCTTCATCCAAAGCTTCTTGCCAGGGCTGGCGCGGCAGGCGGCCACGAAAGTCGCCGCCTTGATCAAGTGAGAAAACTATTGTGTTGGGGGTCTGCTTCTGTTGAGATTTCCAAATGTCCATTCATCCACGAAAAGTAGCGTTTGCTCTTACAGATGCGTGCTATCAGCCCACAGTGGGCTCCTGAGCCCTGCCGGCAGTGCCTGCAGGAAATGGAGACAGTGTTTCTGCTAGTCCGTCATGCGACTTCCCCGCCTCACAAGTCTGAAAGAAATCGCCCTCTCAAGCCCAACCCCGAATTCTTGCAAGCCAGGTTCGCAGAGCCAAGTCAGCGAGTAATGCAGACGATGGCGAAGCAACTTCGTCGCCGCCCTCCTCCTCAGACAGCTCGTTGCCTTCACTGGCACCTGATGGCATCTCTCAATTCAGAATCTGAAGAAAGGCGGCTCTGCAGACTTCCAAGTACTTCCAAGCATGATGAGGTCTGACTCTAAGTGTTTACTTCTGCTTTAAGGTCATGGGTGATGCATTTTGCGGCAACGCCAGCATTTTAGCATCATGTGCTGCACAACAAGCCTTCACTGGATTCTGCTCCGGTAACAACTCCGGTCGTCCCAGCGCTCTGCGGCGACACCTGCGCCAGTCGCGTCGCATGTTACAAATAGTTGAGTGACAGGGTTCTGGATGTCAGGGAGCCAGAGCGGCCCAACACACGTCTACACAGCAAAGGCACGGTTTCATCCATCACCAAATCCGCGATGGACCAGGCTTCTTCCCAGTCCTCGCACGCAGTGTCAGTCACCTGTCGCTCAAGGACATCGATTGCAAATACAATTACGTATCGGTGCGACAAACGGCAGTTACAGTGCTTGTGCGCTAACAGTTGGTCAGAAGACTGCGCCTGGCCTGCTGAAGCTCGAGCTCCAGCAGTATTTTCCTATCTTGTGCCTGCTCCCCGGCTTGCCGTTGCTGTTGTTTTTGACGCTTCTTGCGAGTCTGGTAAATTCCGCGGAGGGATCGCACAATTCGCCCCGGGACTTGTGTAGGGCAGCGGGCCAGCAAGAGCATGGCGCGCAATACGGCCGCATGGGGCTCCAGAGTATGTTGGCAGTATAGATGGCACTTTGTGAACGATTTGGATAGCTCTTCCAGGTAATCAGCTGTATCCAGTTGAGAGTGAACTCGTAGCTTCTCCAGAAGTCCATCAAACTCCCGCTTGACTTCCTGTCACCACAAACTGATGCTTACTACTGCTGCTGCTGCTACCACTACTACCACTACTACTACAACCACCACTATCACTATCATTTCCAGAAAGACTATCACTATTACTATTGCTTTTACCATTACTATTCCTACTGCTATAATCATGCTTATAATCATTTGCCCACTCGGATTCTCCAATGCGGTCTCGTTTCCAAAGGGTTGTTGTCCATGCCCCGATGCTCCCGGACACGCTCCAGGCACCAGGACAAAGCCACAGCTAAATTCTCTGCCGTGCCATGCCCTTGAAGCATGCCTGCAGCAGGGCTCTGGTGGATGAACAAAGAAAGGGAGGGAGAGAAATAGAGAAACTAAGAGACAGAGAGATAGAGAGAGACCAGCAAAACCAGAGGGAGCAAGGATAGAAGGACAGACGGATGGGTGGGCGTGTTGACGCATGAACACGCCTTGTACAAGCCTCAGAAATTCTTCACGTACCCGCTCATTCTGATGGCGGCCGAAGGACGAGCGAGCGGGCTCCGTCATTGTAGCAATGCCATGTGCACCATGCTCGGCAAGATTGATTCTCTGTAACTTATCATAACATTCTGATGCATTCTGTTATGCCAGACTGTCCGGCTCTCTTGCCCTGTTCGCCTCGTTTATTTTTGAATCCACATTCGTGGTTCGAGTCCATTTCCGTAAAAGTGGCAGATTTGGCTGATCGCAGCTTGACAGACTTAGGTTGAAGCTTTTGTTGTCTAGGGTTTTGCAAGTTTCTAGGGCTATGTAACAGCTTCAAAGGTTTACAGGATTTGGCTTTGGCGTTGGTAGTCATTATATAGGGGTTTAGGGGCAAGGTTTAGGGTTTAGGGTTTGAGGTTAAGGGAATTAAGGCTTGAGGTGCCTTAGGATTTCAGAGAGCTTAGGGGTCGAAGCCTTGCCCATATTAGAGGCCCACACTGCAAAACTGGGGTTTAGGGTTTGGGGTTACCCTTGAGGGAGGTATTGGTTTTCCTCAGAGTTGGGTTGCTTGGAAGATTCCCTCAATAGCATCCTGCCGGTGGTCGGGCTCCCGCTGAATGCTGTTGCCTGTGAACGCGTACAAGCGTCGATCAGCTGCCCGCACCCGCATCTGGTGGATCACAGCATAATATTGGTTTGACCTGAGCAGATCTCCGCTAGCGTGTTTGCTATCAGCTGAGCCGACTGCTGATCGAGTCATGGGAAACCGAACATCCGAGGGGCGGAGAAGCGTCAGACCCAGTTATTTTTCCGATGAAAACCAAAGCCCGCGCCCACGTCATGGCTAGGCCCATACAGGGCCTGATTAGGGACTGCTTTAAATTAGGGCCTTATTATTATGGACTATTTCAAATTAGGGTTTAAAAGGGATTATTTCGAATTTGGGCCTGATTAGGGACATATTCCAAATTAGGGCCTTATACGGCACTATTTCAAATTGAGGCCTCATTCAAGACTATTCCAAATTAGAGTTGCGTGTTTAATGGGACAATATGACAAAGTAACTAGCACGGACATTGGTCCGACCAGGGTTCTGTGTATAAGTTCAAGGAAAGAGCCGCTCGATTTCAAGATAGCTGTATTTCAAGGCTGCCTGCCGTGGCGCAGTGGCTCATGACGGTTTTTCTGCATTTCAAGACATCACGGCGACACAATGCTTTGCAGCATCGCTGAAGCAACATTGCCACAGCGTTCCTCATTTTGAGGCCCGCTGCCCTAAGGTCAACCTTGGCCGCCACGGGGATGCGAGCTGCGCAGGCCTGATCTTCCCTAATCTACCCCATCTTGTATCTATCTGAAGCTTTGCAACCTGTTTATCCAGATCAGCGCGCGGAAAACATCGCGCGGCTGCAACAGCTGCTTGGCGGCCTATGTACAAGTTCCCCAGCATAATTGTCTGAACAATAGCCGCCCTGTTTTAGGGCAGTGAAGTTATCGACACGCAGCTAAATACCCAAAGCTTGAGGTTTAATCGCTAGTCCTGGCCAATCCGACGATATCAGGTTTCATGTCTAGTGCCTAATTCCGAGGAAACTCCCTGTTTGGTGGTGGAGGCCGGCCTCAGAACCCCAAAGTTTGTGGACTCAAGAACAGGCCTCATCAAGCACGAGCCGGGAGACTGCTGCCAAAAGCCGGCCTCATCCAAGAGCAAACCAGAGCTAGGACTATATACGGATAGGTATATAGTAGTACTTCCTAAGAATAATGGACCATCATATGAAACGCAAAATGGAAACTGACCAGTTTCTTCTCGATTCACACTTCATGAGCCTGCGCATCCGACAGATACATACGACATACATGGACTGGCAAAAATACAAGTCATTACGACTCAAACGCTTTCGCTCAGCAATATCTTACGCCGAACATCAGTGAGAAATGCATGAACACCAGCAGGAGACGTGCGGAGAAAAGCAGGAAGCCTGGTTGGGGTCTTTGGCCGCCATTTGGGCTTGCAAGTCGGTGCGGAAGCAGGCCGATTGAACTGCCAAGAGCGCAGGTTCTCCTGGCTTGGAGCTGCAGGCTTACATAAACCCTAGTTAGCCCTT